TATAAAGCTGGGAGAACCTTACTATCACTCCATGATCAAGATAGTAAGCTCACCCATTGACTACATGTTTTTGAATGCCAGGATACAAGGCTGAGCCCTACAAGGTGTGGCCTGGGCGCCGGGGCTTCAGACATTACTCAAAGGGTCACCTGAACAAGGGAGCTCCTGCAGGGAGGCTTCCCCGCAGGAGTTAATCAGGCCAGGGAGGCGGAGGGTGCTGGGGAGCCGCCCCACCTGGGACAGCCCAGGGCAGGAAGAGGCACAGCCTGGACGTGGCATGTGTGTGGACAGGTGAGACTGCAGCTGGGGGGCAGGCAGGGCCGGCCCCCAGGCCACACCCTGCATGTTGTCTTTATTCTGGGAGCCACTGAAGGGAGACCAGCCAGGCCAGGTCTGGAGTCTGCAGAGGTGGCTACTGGCAGGTGCAGGAGGCCCAGAGGGCGTGGGAGATGGCTGAGCAGAGGCAGTGTGGGACTGGGGTGGCTGGACCAGGAGTGCAGGGGGCAGGAGGCAGGAGTATTTGTGGGTAAACTCAATGGGACTTCCTGAGGGAGGTGCCAAGGATGAGTCCTGGGTTTCTAGCCTGCACCCAGGATGGGGTCTGCTCTGAGTGGGGAGCATTGGGACAGTGCCTTTGAGATGCTGGCGGGTGGGGATGTCAGGCGAGTAGTTTTAAATATGGCCCGATGCTCAGTACAGAGGTACAGGCTGTGTCCCCTGAGTCCGGCGGTAAGACTGAGCTCCAGAGGCCTGTCTGGGAAGAGAGCGAGGAGAAGAGAAGTATGTGAGTATGAAAGCAAGCATTCCAAGTGCAACGCTGGGTGGACTCGACAGCGTACTAGAAGAAGGATGCTCCACGACCCCGTGTGCTTACCCCAGGAATGTAAGGATGGTTCAGCATTAGGAAGAGGTCTTGTGATTAATTCCACTGACAAATTCAATAGAAAATATGTGAAATCATATCAATTGAGGTGCAGAAGCATTTGAGAAACGGCAGCAACCCTTCCTCCTCTAAGGAAAAGAGGAAACGAGGAAAGAGGAAACTCAGGAATGAGAAAAGCTCGTCATTGTCACCGTTTCCAACATTGTGTTTTTTTTGTTTTGTTTTGTTTTTTTTGCGGTACGCGGGCCTCTCACTGCTGTGGCCTCTCCCGTTGCGGAGCACAGACTCCGGACGCGCAGGCTCAGCGGCCATGGCTCACGGGCCCAGCCGCTCCGCGGCATGTGGGATCCTCCCGGACCGGGGCACGAACCCGTGTCCCCTGCATCAGCAGGCGGACTCTCAACCACTGCGCCACCGGGGAAGCCCTCCAACATTGTTTTGAAGGCTCTAGTTCATGCCATAAAATAAGAAGACAGGCTGGCACACATATTAAAACAGAAGGGCCAACATTATTTTTATTTGTAGACAATGTTTGTCTAGAAAAACGAGAGATTCTAAAATCACTTAGTAAATTTAAAGTTGTTAGATACAAGATAACTGTACAAAAATGAACCAGTTTTCTTTTCTTTTTTTTAATTAATTTTTTTGGCTGTGTCCCACGCAGCTTGTGGGATCTTAGTTCCCCGACCAGGGATCAAACCTGGGCCCTCGGCAGTGAAAGCGCGGAGTCCTAACCACTGGATGGCCAGGGAATTCCCCCCATTTTCTTTATACTGGCAATAACCAACGACAAGTGGAAATGGGAGGGTTATATTCATGATGATAAAATCACAAATAAATTTATAGGATATTTACAGGAATGACTTTATAGAAAAAGTACAGGATCTCTATAGTCAAAACTATACTTTTTTTGATGAATTTAATTCAAGGTTGGAATAAACAGAGAGATACACATATCCCTGAGTGGGAAGACTTCATATCATAAAAATATCCAGTATTCTGAGATGAATCTATAAACTTATTGCCATTCCAATATGTATTCCTGTAATGCTTTTTGCTCATTTGTTCAAATTTCATTTGAAAGGCAGAGATGAGAACCAATCGTTTTTAAGGTCATCGGGGACAATACGTGAGAATTGCTAATACATTCTTGAAAAGTGAAAACTAGTGCATATATCCTTTATCTGTCTGTATGAACACTTATTATAAATGCTGTTGTCAAAATAATATGCTGGGAAAGAAAAGAGACAGAGGTCAGTAGAACAGAGATTAGTGGAATGGATCCAAGTATACGTAGAAGCGGAATCCACCATAAATGTGACATTTCAAGGTGGTGGGAAAGGAGAGGTATTTAATAAATTGTGCGTGCATAGCAGCTTTCTGGAAATAGAGTTCAACTCACTGCATTCCAAATATTCAAGACCACACTCCAGAGGGAATAGAGAGTTCCACAAATACAACAGCAGAAAATTCGAAAGTCCTTCAAGACCCACAAGTCTTAAGGAAACTGTTGCTGATTAAATAAAAAATTTAAGTACCTGGCAAGAGACAAAACCATCGAAAAGTATAAAAAAAAAAAGCATTTAAACCAAAGCGTCAAAAAAGAAGTGACAGGGAGAAAATATTTGCAGTAACCCCTTAGCAGACAAAGGGTTACTAGCCCTAGTAATCTAAAGAAGCTTCTTGTGATAAGAAAAGCAAGCTCTACTCTCTTATTATTAGATCACTCTCAAAATGGAATTCTAGCCTGCATTTCCTGGAGACAGTGGGTGTCATGTGCTCCTCGCCAGGTGAGTCAGCGATTGACGGGAGCACGGCTGGGTGCCAGGTGGGAGCCCAGCCCTGGGAGGGGGCCTGGCCCAGGAGCAGTTAGCCTGGGGTCGGCTATGCTCACTGTCCAAGCTCGCTGGGTCCTCCCAAGTCCATCGAGACTCACTGTCACCTGCCACGTGTTCTCTCCTGTTCCCCAGAGACATTTCCAAACATCCTTAGGACCATGGTCACTAAATACCAAATTATGGCAGATTTCAGAGGAGTGTTTGTGCCTTTAAATGACTAAAAACCACGGAGGTTCCACAGTCTGCATAAGTGACAGGCTAGTTTAATAGAAAGACCAGGGGATTAGGTGATATGTTTTTGTAACCCAAAGTTACCATTTCAAATTTCTCTTTTACCTGTCACTTCTCCCCGTTTTCCTGGAGGAAGCATCACCCCTGGTTGGCATACAAGCCTCTCTTCCGGGCTGAACAGCTCCAGAGAAGTGGACACACAGTGGAGAGGGGCAGTCAGCACCAGTTAGGCAGCATGTGTTTGGGGACCTTCTCAGGAGGTTTCCTATGCTTTCATTCGGAGGCAGTTAGCGGACCCAGGATGGGCTGGCATTCCGGCTTGCTCTTCCAGGGACTTCCCAAGAGGGAAATCGCATCTATGAAAAGTTCGCTCAGCTTCTGAACAACCACACAGATAGGAGCAGGGTCGTGCTCTGTTCTTCTCACACGCATTTGTCTTAGTGGGTTCTGGGGACGCATCTCTGTGACTTTAGTTTCTGTGACGTGGGGAAAAGTGATTTCCTCGGCAGATGAGCCTGGGGAAAACTGGGATAGAAAGCTGTAAGCAGCTTTCTTTGTTGCCAAAGGCTCAGAGGCTTCCACTCCTGGGCGCTTGTATGTCCCCGGGGAGGGACGTGGAATCCCCCTACCCTGGCTGAGTCCCTCAGAGCCGTGTGACTGGGACGCGTTTGCAGAAATGCTGCTTCATGTAAACTAAACCCAGCACGTAGCTCACAGGACGTCCCTGCCGTGCAGGGCTTAAGAGGCACGTTCTACAGATGTGGAAACAATTCAGAGCATTCATGTGACTTGTCCAAGGTCACACGGGAACCAGTCTAGAGAAGGGAATTCTGAGCTTTCTCTGCGTTCAGGCACATATTTTTGTAGCTTTAAAAACGAATAAATTTTCACTAAAGACCCTTGTTGACCGTCAGGAGTCTGACTAGTATTACTGGGTCAAATGTAATAGAAGGAAAACTTTCTTGAAAGGGTTCCAGGTAACATAATTTTGATTTTTCAAATCTGGTTGTTAAAAAACAATACATGATTTTATTTTTATCAACCAGTTAAAGGTCAGCAAGAGACTTGGGGGTCAGAGGTTATCGGTCATGTGGCAAGGTCAGCAGGAGTCACAGGGACGCTGCCTGGGTTGGTGGCCCTGCCCGAGGGGCCACCTGCCCATCCTGTGGGAAGTCACCTGTCCTTCTGACCTGCCCTGCCCCACCCAGGGCCACCGTGACCCCGAAGTTCTCATCAATTGCGAAAGAAAAGAGAAGAGCTCAATTTGTTCAATTTAAATTCTTGTCCCTTCTCCAAAGACCAGGCCTTCCCTCTCTGGGGGGACTACGTCCTTCCTCTCATCAAATGGTGTCCGTATTTGTACCGTGTGTGAGCATCTCACAGCCCCTGGGGTCCCGCGGTGTCAGAGTCTCCTTCCCTACCCTGTGGGTCCAGCCGGACCCGGGTGGGCAGGGGCCCTGGGGCAGGGGTGAGGGAGGCCCCCCCCAGGGATCCCTGGCGCTCTGAGGGGGCAGGTGTAAGTGGGGGGGGGTCACAGAGTTTCTTCATGTGACCCCAGAAAAAGAGACCCTCTGACTAGGATGTAAAACACCTGCGTGTGGACAGACAGACAGAGAGACAGACAGCAAGAATCTCTGGAGTCACAGCGGCTGTTTTACCGGAAGAGCCTTTCACATATGCTTTCTGTGCCTACAGCCCCCTTCTCTCTGTTCCTGTCTCTGTCTCTCCCTCCCTCTCCCTCCCCCTCCCCCCAAGCCCTAACCCCAGGGTCTGTGTCCTCCACAAGCCCCTTCTGTGTCAGACCGGCCTCTGCCCACACCTTGGAGCTGGGGCTTCCTGGGGACAGCTTGGGGTTCACAACCATAACGCTGCCTCTGAAACGAGGAAAGGGTGCCCTTTGGGGGCCTGTGAGTTCTCTCCCTGTCCCCTCTCCCTGGTCTGTCCTTGCACACTCAGCGGAGGGGTTTTAAAAAAGAATAATCACACTTAGTAACTACCCGGCCTGGAGCAGCGTTGCCCGCGGACCGCGGTTTGGGGAGGCCAGAGCCCAGTGGCCGGTCGCCAAGGAAACGAACCACCCGCCCGGCGGCCACGCCTCTCCCCGGACGCTCCTGTCTCCTCATTAGCTGTTGCCCTGAAGGACTGACTTCCCTCCCGAGGGAAATTCCTGAAACCCAACGGTTGACAAACCCACACGCCCTGGGGAGGGCTGGGCGCCAGATAAAAGCCCTGGGCGGCCGCGTGGGGACCACGGCCAGCTCAGGACCGCCCACCGGCTCTGCTCCCTCCTCCCGGCGGGTGGCCGGAGCTCCCGTCCTCTGCCCGCGGTGGGCGCGGGGTCTGCACCCAGGGAACACCAGCGGGAGTTTTCTGGTTTGCTCTCAGCTCTCCCGATGATCTATTCCTGTCTTTCCTTTGGGAAAAACGCGCTTTGCCCATGACTAATCTCGGCCCCGCCGAGATGATATCAGCTGTCACCTGCGGGGCGGGACCACAGCCCAGGTGTGAGACAGAGTGAGGCTGCAGCCCCACCTGCCAGCACCACCTGAGCCCCGTCCCCGCCGGGCGCCGCTGTCCCTGCGCAGGCCCCGGGGATGTGGCCACCGCAGTGACCGCCGGGGCGAGGCCGCCCTGGAAGGGCCGAGCCAGGCGTGCGAGGAGCGGGTGCCTCCCGGTGCGGGCGTGTGTGGAGCCCCTGGATGGAGCTTGGGAGCCGGGGCCCCTCATGTCTGTCCTGCTGACTCTGTGCGTCGTGCTCCTGGCCCTGGCGACCCCGGGCCGAGGCGCCGGGCGATGGGAGCCCTGCACGGGTAAGTGGGGGGCACGGGGCGGAGCACGCGCGGGGGCCGGGAGGGGCGCCGGGCGTGCGGTACCACTTTCTCAGGCCGAGTCCAGGTCACGGTGCTGAGTGGCCACGGGAGCAGCGGCAGCTGGACCAGGAGGAGGGACAGAAGGTTAAAGGGGGCAGCAGGGCGCTCAGGAGAGGAATGCCAACAGGGTGGGGACTCCTTGCAAAGGGTTACCCTCCCCCATCCCAGGCCCTTCACAGTACTTACCTGCTGGGCCTCCAGGAAGGCCGTACACCTGCCGGAGGAATGAGGCCCAGCGGCTGGCGGGTCACTCGCCCGCCGTGGACAGAGAAGCCAGGGCTGCACTTGGCACAGTGCAGACCCGCCGCTGGGGCTGGGCAGTCCTGTCCCGCGAGAAGAGGGGCACGTGGGGCCGGCCCCAGGCACGCGGACCCCCTCCAGCGGAGAGCGGAGTCGGAGGGGAGATCCCGCCCCCTTCTCCTTAGAAAGGCCGAGTTGACCTGCCAGTGACCACGACATCATGCCTCTACCAAGAGACTTTATTTATCCGACCTAACGCTGACAAACAGAGTAAAGGGGAAATGAGACCCGGAAGCTAGAAGCTGAGCTCCGGGATGGGAGTGAGCGAGGGGCGTGCGGGCCTCGCCGAGGGTGGTGGCGCTGAGACGGGTTTGTGCGTGGCCCCCGGTTTATTTGCAAATATCTCATTCTGGGCTCCGGGAATCCTCCCAGGTCCCCGCGTGTTATGGCTCTTTGCTCTGATGGCACTCGGTTCCCAATGATGTGATCAGGAGATGGCCCATGATGACCCAAGTTTGGAACGCTGACCTGTGTTCACACCGGAAGGGGGGGGGTCCATAAAAATCCCCAGCCCCCCAGGGAACAGCCAGGCCGTGCGGGTGGAGGGGAGCAGCCCCCGGGTGTGTGCTGGGAAGGAATACCAGGGCCCCCGAGGCCCCTGCACCTGCTGCGGTCACAGCCTTGGGATGCGTGATGTGCAAACCACACAGAAGCCAAGGCCACCGGTAGCCCTGAAACACCGCCGGCCCCCACCCGGCTTTGAGCATGGAGGACAGACCCGCACACGGGGTCTGGGGCGCAGCACCCGACCTGCGTCGTCCTGAGCACTCAGTGTCTCCCAGGTGGGGTGAGTCACAGACGTGTATCTTCATGTTCCCTTCAGCACTGGGAACAGAATCAACTTGCATAGTAATAATAAAGGTTATTTATAAAGCCCGCCCCCTCTCCCCTGAAGGTATGTTGCAAATAGTTAAAAGATGACCCAGTTATAAATACCGACAACCAGGGGGAAAGATAAAAGCCAAGTAAATAATATTGAACTAAATTTGGAAGCTCCCAAGACACCTGATAGTGGCTAGTCAGGACTCAAATAGTTAGAGGTCACTTTGATCGCATTTGGTTTTGAAAAGCACAGGAGGTTACACCGTAGGGTTTGTGCGGGTTTGGATTTCACTTTCCCTTACCCCTTGCTCCTGGGTCTGTGGTGCTGTGTGTGAAGTGCCTGGACCTTGGCTGTGACGACCTTGGGTTTTGAAGTCCTGTCCCCCTTCCCCAAGCCCATCTGAGTCTGTGACTATGAGACAGCAGCCCCCTACAGGAGGTGGTGGGGACAGTTTTGCCGCTGAGGAAGTTGAGGTTACATCTCTGCCCCGGGTCTGGTGCAGACCCTCTGATAAGGGCTGGGGCCTGGGGCTGGCCCTTCTGCACAGGGGCATCTGAGGACAGGTCAAGTCTCAGAGAGCCTCAGCTGACCCTGGCAGGCTGTCAGCACGAAGAGGCTGCGGGGGGCAGGTGGGAGGCGCAGGCTGGGAAACCAGCGCAGCTGCTGGGCCAGCCTCAGGGCGGGAGGGTGAGGAGGGTCTGCAGCAGAGAGGCTGGGGCTCCGGGGCGCAGCGGGTGTGTGGAGCGGGTTCCCCTGGGGTGACTGTGGCAGGCAGGATCCTGGGGCCTCGCTGACCCCAGAGCCAGCCTGGGTCTTCTGATACTCGGACCCCTCTGCTGCTCCAGCAAGCCGGGCCAGCTGCCCTGGGACAGAGGCTGAACCAGGAGTGGAAGACCTTCAGCTCCCACACAAAGTCCACGACTCTGGGGGGCGTGATGTGCGTGGTGCCAGGAAAGTGGCTGGGGGTGTCCTGCCAGGGGACAGCTTGGTGGCCTGAATTCTAGACCTGGGCTCTTGGTCAGGGAGTGACCAGCCGCTGTGGCCAGAGAGCCTGCCGTCCACCCCGACTCAGCCTGTCCCGACCCAGCATTGTCTCCACGTGGGCGGGAGGCCAAGGCGGAGGGGTTCTGTGGAAGCCGTAGCGGGGGCAGCTGGACCCCAAGGCTGGGTCACTGGCGGGGTGCAGGGGGTGGGCGCTTGGAGCGGGGTGACCTGCCGTGGGGTGTCAGAACAGTGTCTTCTGTCACCCCGGGAAAGTCAGAGGCAGCTCCTCAGCCGGGGCTCAAGGCCGTGCTGAGGCGTGGGAACCTGGCGAACATAGCTCAGCACCCCCTTCCTTCCTTCACCTGCTCGACGCCCCTGCAAGGAAGGCACCGCGCCCGCACTGTTACACTGCAGCTCGGTCAGTGCGTGGGCAAGGCTCTCGGCAGGTGTGGGGGATCCCGGGGCGGGTGGGTGGTCAGACCTGGGGTCTGGGGTGGGGTGCATCCCTGGAGCTAGAGGAAGTGCCCAGGAAATAAGGGGCACAGATTTGCATTACAAAAGCTAGTTGGGGTGTGAAGGCTGCAGGCAGGTGGCCCAATGAGGGGCATGGGGTTGCGGGGGGAGGAAGCCCTTCTCCTCCCTTGCTGGCGGCTCCCAGGAATTCTTCAACCCTGTCCTTTGGGCTCTGTTAATGGAAACGCTGCAGGAAGGGCAGTGCTGCCCAGGGAGCTGGGGAATCCTGGCCACCTGGCGAGGTCCGCACGCCCGTTCCTGGGAGTCCTGTGTGGGCACGACGCCCCCTTCTGGGCTCAAGCAGCCGTCAGCAGGGCCGTGAGCAAAGCCGAGGAGCAGTTTGCAGTCAGGAAGCTGCTGCTAGATTCCCAGTCAGTCCCCCACCCGCCCTCGGGTGCTGGGGGCCCCCGAGCCTGCGTCCCAGCCGCCCCAGCCCCAGGCCGGCGCCCCGTTCTACACCAGCTTCATCTGAGCTCCACACCCCAGGTGGCCCCTGGAGCCACTCTGCGTGGGCCACAGGAAGGAGAGGCCGCCAAGTGGCGGGTCACGTGGGGACCGAGGCTGAAAGGCCCACGTGGCCTGCTTGACAGTTTTGCAGGGCTGGGGTGTGGCTGGCAACTGGAGACACACTGTCAGCCTGACGCCTATTTCCTTTTAAAGAATTCTCAACCGTTAAACCAGGGCGTTGTTTGTCTGCACAGAAATTAGGAAACCAAGAATATTCTTCTTTTTGTTTGTTTTTTTTGCGGTATGCGGGCCTCTCACTGTTGCGGCCTCTCCCATTGCGGAGCACAGGCTCCGGACGTGCAGGCTCAGCGGCCATGGCTCACGGGCCCAGTCGCTCAGCGGCATGTGGGATCTTCCCGGACTGGGGCACGAACCTGCGTCCCCTGCATCGGCAGGCGGACTCTCAACCACTGCGCCACCAGGGAAGCCCAAGAATATTCATTTTTATAATGCCACCTCATACACTATATGCTGGTTCTTTGGTTTTGATTTTTAAGAGTAAATCATAGATTTCCAGGAGGTCTTTTTCCAGGATAAAATCTAGGAAGCCACCAACACACGCTTCGGGGTCTGGGCTCTGTTTCCAGCCGGACTCCCCCATCTCTCCCTCCCCCCTCCCCCGCCATCCTCCTCTTCCCCCCCACCCCAGGTGGATTCTGAGCTCTGGGCTTACAGGGACCTCTACGTCTGTGTGGGGTGGGGATGGGAGGGCACCCACTTGTCTCCCCATCTTGAGAGTCTGGGGAGCGAGGGGGACGTGGCCCCTGGCTGTCACCCTCGGCGTCCCAACCACACATCTCTGCCTTTAGGAGGGTCCGGGCCGGGGGCTGGGGGCTTCCCAAGCCTCTCGGAGACCCCTCATCACCCAGCAGCCATGCTCACGCTAACGCCCCCACGTGACCCCACCCCCAGCCCCGAGCAGAAAGCCTGAAAGCCGGTTCCTTCCCGCGGGTCTCGGTCCTCGGAGGGGCTGGGGCGCCCTGTGTTAGTGGCTCATTTTCATATCACCCCCAGGTCGGGGCATGGCGCTTTGGGGACTTTGTGGGAGTCTCCAGCGAATCCACTCTAGTGAGCATCTCTGGCACTGCCAGGGGGTACTTACCCGCCGCTGGGAGGTGCGAGAGGAAAAGGAGGATGCCCACCCCGCCTCCACGGTGACCCCACGGTCGGTTTGCAGCCCGGAGAGCGCCCCCTCCGCCCCCGGTAGGGCCTCGGGTGATGGAAGGGGGAAGGGAGGTGACCCCGAAGGCGGGAGCTGCCCACCTCTGGGCGGGGCGGTGTTGGGGCCACAGCACGGGCCTCGCTGTCGCCCCTGCCGGCCTGGCGGGACCTAGGGGAGCGCGTGGACCGGGTGGGGGTGTCTTCCTACGCCGAGGGGAAGGCGGGGTGTGCGCGCGCGCGCGTGAATATGTGAGTGTGCACGGGTGCGTGAACACGTGTGCGTATTAGTGTGAGTGCGTGTGCGCGCCCGCTCGCCGCTGGGAAGAAGCCGGAGGACATCTACCCAGGTGGTGAAATTCGGTTGTCTTTCTGGCCCCGCGCGTTTCCGCGGTTGCTGCAGCGGGTAACCGAGGGAGACGGGAAACTCTTCCAGGCCGCGGGCGCGGCGGCTCGGCAGCTCCACGTGGCGCAGGCGGGCGGTACGGTGGCTCCGGGCTGGGTCTCTCGGGGTCAGCGGTGGCCGGGCTCGGGTGCCGCCGCATGGGGACGGAGCTCAAGTGGGCGCTCCGGGGACCCCTGCGCTGGTGAACGGCCCTCCCCGGGATGCCTCGCTCCGCGTGTCGCGCGTCTGGGGGCGGGTCGAGCGCTGAGC